ATACATATGAGGAATAAAGCGGTGATGAAGTCGCAAGTAAAAAAAACAAAGTTGAACATATCATTCAACATATCATTGACCATCTTTCAATCCATGACCCAAATATGAAATCTGAATTGTCAGGCTTTATTAGGAGAGCCGTGGTAACTTTGGAGTACTGGGGCAAAGTGGTGATAGAATCAGTGGTGCTGCCAAGGGAGGATCACAGGGGGCCGTGACCTGTTTGAAAAATGTTGGGCCGCCCCATTTGTCTTTCCAGAAAATCATGTTCATGTCACTGAAAGGAATACAGAGTCATCCTCTTCAATGAAGACATACATGCAAAATCCAAAAGATAAATAAATACAAAATAAATTAATTGATTCAAATTTCTACTGGCCTGGTCTGGGCACCCCTATTAAAAAAATGTCCAGGGGTGTCTCGACTGTATAGAATAAATATTTGTCATTCACTCCCCAAATCTGGGAGTCTGGCAAATGGAAAGCCATCAGCATTCCTCTTTTTTTTAGGTTTCCCTAAGTCATGTAATGGACAAAAACATGTGGTTGAAGGCTAGATGAGACAGAAATGTAACTTTCTGTCTGACATGTGAAACACAGTGGCAGCTGCGTCACGCCTAAAGGGACAGGGAAGCTGATTCCAGTGGAGCAGAACATGGATGAAGCTAAGAACAATGTGATCCTTGAAGAAAGCCGAAAAAGACCAATCCAAATGCAAAATGCTAACGCCAGAGATACAAAGGAACGGCTTAGGTCACACAATGTAAAGGTGATTAGAGTGATTAGAGTGGCCCATTCAAAGTTCAGGTCAGAGTTTGATTAAGAGTTTGTGACGAGATTTGATAAAAGCCGTTCAGATTGATTTACAAACTGTCTGAGCTTGAGCTGTTTTGTGACGACGACGAGTAAAACATTCTCCAGATGTGTGGAGACACACAACCAATTACACTGACATGATTATTCTTAATTATACTCAGCTTCGTGTTGTTTTCTAACATAAAATCCTCATGAAATACTCTGAGAATTGTGGTTGTGATACGACAACATAAGCAACCATTATCCAGGCTGCTAATTATGTTTCCTCCTGTGGAGAAAGTGTTTGTCTTTGGGTAAATTTTGTCGAGGTACAATGAACAGTTTGTGAGGCGTGTTTACATAGTAGAGACGGAGAGTATTTGGCACTTTAAGGCTTTGCTTCACACCTACTTTTTAGCACCGGCAGTCAAGTCGGTGTAAATAATAACGAGCAAGCGAAGGTGTTAAACATGGATATAACACATTTTTATTGTATCGCGTCACGTTACATACCATCAGCGCTGAAACGCACAATGCCAGGCAACTGATCCAAAACAAGAAAAACCGCAGCGTCTGAAAAAAAAATTAACAAAACGAATTCAAACACAAAGTAAAAGATCAAATGAAATCAAGTAAGTCCACTCTAAAGCTGCTGTAGTATGTATCCTATCAGAGTGTCTGAACTATAAAAAATTCAAAGTATTTTTGTTTCTGCCTCTGAGCAGGTATCGCTCTGTTTCCTGACGGTGCTCAGCTGCTGAGCTGCAAACATCACTACCATGACAACATCCCACCTCTAGTGGACCCTGGTACGCCTCAGGAAGGGGACTGTGAGATCACAGAGGTCACTTACTTTGGGCCGTTCACAGAGCGCAAACAGGTACGCTGTGAACACATTGATTCAGTCGAACATATGTGACCCGAAAAAGTATTCACACCCCTTGAAACTTTGAACATGAATTTTCAAATATTCGATGATAATGGAGGCCTTTCTTCAAAGGGCTGTCAAATAAAATACCCCCCAAAATACTCTGAAGTTTGTGGCTTTAATAGGAAAAAATGTGGAAAAACTTTTAGAGGGGCAGAATTAGATTTATGTCATGTTATATTGTTCCCTCATCAAAAACATACCTGGAGTGTTGCTTTGATTCTTTGACGCATGTTTGAGAAATCCTTTAATCTCCATTGGCAACCATTCAGCTGTTCAAAACGCCTGGGTGGACCTAGCCCCGCCTTCGAAGACAAATCTCCTCCTCTGAACTGCAGTTTTCACTCTTTTGAGCTTCCACCTCCCCCACTGAGCTCCTTCAAACTAGTCAGCACCAATTAGCAAATACCTGGTGGAATTTCATATCTGCTGAGCTCAGAAAAGTTCTGGAAAAAACATTGTTGCAGGGTTAATAGAGGAGCCATGTTGTGATGACTTCCTGAGGGTGGCGTTTCAGAAAGAACAGCAGCTTCTTAAAGAGACGGAGGTCCTATTTCAAGGCATTAATCAAATTTCTTTTAAGTCATATTTAACATATGCAGCATTTTTATACAAACTGAAGGTAGCACAATCAATTGACTGTGCTATGAAAACACACAATACTTTCCCTTTAAGTGGTTTGACTTTTTTTTTTATGTGAACCGTCGCCGTTGATTTACAGCCACACATCGTCTCTCTCTCCTGTTGTGTCACAGAAACGGGCCGTGGTGGTCCGTGGCCCATCGGACGTGAAAAACAAAGAGCTGATCTTCATGCAGTTCAGCCAGAATGAAACCCAGGAGGACTTCAGTGCCATTTCATACATGCTCTTTGCGAAGTTCAGTGACTTGATTGAAAGGTAAACGCAAACTCTAAAGTATTGATCCTGCTTTGTTTGCCGTGAGAGATAACCGCCACGGACAATCGAGTCTTTGCCGATGCTGCCTCTGTGTACCTTCGTCACGTTTTCAGGCCGTCTATTCATTGTATCGTAAGATAATGTTGAACTTAAAGCAATCAGCTTTTTCTTCAATCAGGTGGAGTAAGCGTTTATACGTTAGGTAGAAAAATAGAAACGCCTCTGAAACAAGATCCGACTGGTTTAATTCTTGCATGTTTTATCACCGCAAAGTAAACCTTTGGCTGAACAGTGCGTTTCACAAACTGTCCCTCATCACTCTATTGGCGTCGAAATGTTTGTACCTCTGTAAAAGAACAGGCACGGATAGTAAAATGTCAGCTGGATATCGCAGGGAAGTGATCGCGTTAGGTAAAAATTGACTTAAAAGTTAAACCTCTAGGTTGTTGGGAGTTCACCTTTATCTTCTGAAATGTGTGATCAAACAGCTGCACAGCCTTGAAAAGTATTCATACCCTTTGAATTTTCTCACCTAATTGTCACCTTAAGTTTAGTTTTTACCCTGAAAGTCTTCCACCGAAAGGAGGTTCTTCAAAGTCCAGACAATGAAACACAGTAAAGTTTGTAGTTGCAATGAAACGTGAAAACGTTTAAGGGCTATAAACACTTTTTCAAGGCGTCTGAAGTTGAACCAGTCTGAATCCGGCAGCTCATGTCTCCTCTCTTTCCCGGCACCTCAAGCGCGAACAAGTCCGAGTTCATGAGGGACTGCGAGCGGAATTACTCCATGTGGACATTCTCTGGAGGATTCAGAACCTGGGTCAAAATGTCTCTCGTGAAAACGTCCGGCAGACGCAGCGAAGCGGTGGAGTTTCGGCAAGAGGTATTACCGGCTTACGCACACGAAGACGTCTTTATCAGAGGCTGCGCTTTCACGATTTCTGTTCGTTCTTCTAGTCGGGAGTGGTGAAATTCAACGACAAGAGGTCTGAATCAGAGCAGACGGTTCAGCTCTTCTTTGTTGTCTTCGAGTGGCGAGATCCTTACATTCAGGAAATCAGGCTGGTAAGTTTTCCCAGAGATATTGTCACCCTCGCTAGAATAGCCTGCACACGTGTGTCTGTCAGTGTTCAAGTCAGCTGTGCTTCTGTCTATGCAGATAGTGACTGCAAATCCCTGGAGCTCCATCGGCATCCTCTGTGTCGTCTTCATGGCTCTCTTCAAGGCTGCAAATTTTGCCAAGCTCACCATAAAATGGATTATTAAGATGCGCAAGAGGCACCTGAAGCACAAAGCAAGGGAGCTAAACTCGATAAGCTAAAACGCAACGCAGGAAAACTGCTCGCACATGCTGGCATGGAGAGAAATGTTCAAGTGAATGATTTTTTTAATCACACATGCTGTTTTTTTAACGCTGTTATATACATATATTTTTGATAATTGGAGAGTAATTTACACTAAGGATTGGAATGTAAATTTTGCACACACAGAGCTAGCTACGTTTTAGCAATTTAGATTCACCAATTCACTGTGGCTGTATTTTCTTTATAAAAGTGAAATATTTTGTTGCATTTCTAAACATTCCTGGGGAACACAACTTTGCACATACTCAGCAATGTTGCTGAGAAATGAGATTCTTTAAACTTTTTTTGTATGTTTTTTTTTTTTGTGAAACTGAGAAACAGTTGTGCTAGATAACTTGAAAAGGGAGTAGTGTAGTGATTCTCTTTTATGTACTTTGTTTAACACATAAAAATGTTTGAAACATTTCATAGATTATCTCAAAAGGGATTATCAAAAAATGAACTTTTGAACTTTTTTTGAACTTGTGGTCTAACAATGACCACAATGATACTTTTTCATCAACACAAAAAGTGGAAAAAGAAAACAGAAAATAAATGAAAATTGAACTTTTTTTTAAAAAATGTTTTAAAATGTATACATTTTAAAATGTATACATTTTTTAAAAAAATGTTCAATTTTCATTTATTTTTTGTTTTCTTTTTCCACTTTTTGTGTTGATGAAAAAGTATCATTGTGGTCATTGTTAGAGTTGACTTAAATTATGAATTTGTTAGTTGTTACTATTCATATAGTTCCATTTTGATGAAAATAAATTGGATTTTATGCCCAAAGTATTGTCTCCAAATGTGATTTAACAAGTTTTAACAAGATTTAACCAGTGTTTATTTAAATATGTAGCAAAAAATTTAATTTAATTTAAAAAGCTGCATTATACGCAAACGCAGTTGGCAGCTAAAGAAAAATGCACATAAAATAAATCGAATTGTAGCAAAGTAAGTGATGACCTACTAGTTTGTTTTTGGGGGAAAGTCGTAATTTCTGACGGTGTTCGATGCTCCTACACAGACTGTTCTCTTGAACGCATCACGGGATGTGGTTCACTACGAGAGCGGATTCGTAGGAGGATGTTGTTAGCTTCTGCAGTAAACACACATTTGGAGCTTATAAAGGTAAACGACAGCCATATTTCATTACTTACTGTGGACATAAAAAGTTTATGTAGCTGCACTCTTGTCACGACAATACAATAAGATATCTAGGTGGAGCAGAGGTGAAACTGGTGGAGCTGGTAAAACAAGCTGTTTCTAGCTTGCTAGCTTTAGCTTTAGCTCAGAAGGGAACTTTTTTAACTTACTCCTCTGCTGAGTATTATTCCCTTTACATGTTGCAGGCATATACACAATTTATAATTAGCTACACCTGGAGCTGTGGAGTGTATTTTAGAAATTTCCCGGATCCTTTTCACATTCTTAGAAGCAAAGCTAAATAGCTTTGCTAGCTAGTTCATAGCCTCTGCGACCCTCTACCCAAATCAGTAAATTTCTTTTGGAAACAAAGGTAATAACAGTCAGATAAATGGTTTACTTAAGCACTGATTACATTTCCTAAATGAATACATTAAATGTTGTAAGGCTAATGTAATATAACTTTGTGTTGGTTGCTGCAACTAACTGTTAGTTAGCTATCTCCTCTCTTTGTTGTTAGCTGCTTGTTTTTGTGCTGTAGTGATATTTAGGACATGCTAATTAAATTGTATTATGCAGTTTATGTTTTGACTTTTTAGAGTCTTGCTTTTTTAGGGTATTGCTAAATGCAAAAAAAAAAAAGTAGAGACAATTTAATTCAATGATATGTTATTCCTCTGGAAGCCAAACTAAATCTAGAAACTCTTCTAATTTTCTTCTAAGATTCCTTACTGTAGCTGGCAGCTGCAGGTGTTGAATCCCAGACTAAATGATTTCAGAATATTTGCTTTTATTTAAAACAGGACGTTCAACATTTATCCTAGTACTAAAAATCCCCCATAATATTACAATTTTAACGGATGCTTTTTTTTTAACATTTGTTTTATTTTGTTACTTAGGCTTTTTGCAAACGTAAAAAATAAGTCTCCACTAATTTAGAAAGTTTTCAAGAGTTATTTGCTAAATGTTTTATCTCTTTGCTTTTCTGGCCTTTTTTGATTTAAACTCAAGAGTGTAACAAGCTGATATTAGCTGATAAATTAGTCAGTCACAGCTATTCTTTGCTTTGTCACTGTGTTTTATGAAGCCTGGGAACTTTGGCACATTCTCTGAAAATGTAACTTTAAAACATATAGTTACTATGATGGGTCGCTGTTGCAGTTCTGGGTTACTTTTTAAAACCTTGGTAAACCAAAAAAATAACAAGTGTATGGCTACTACATATGTTTTATTTATTAAAAATTTTGAAGATTTTTAGTTTCCATTATGCTTTGCTTTGATTATAAATGCATTATTTATTTTATATAGTTACCTAATTATGACTTTCAATTATATAATTATTTGTTTTTAATTGAAAGGTGAGATGTGACAAAGTTACATTTAGGTATATCTTCTCAGATGGACAGATTTCAAAACTATCTCAGTTGAACTCACTAACGTGTAGGTCTGTGTTTTGAAAGCTGATGTTTGGCGTCACCTTTAACTCCGGGCTGGTTTTAAATCCTTGCCCCGTTTGGAAGCGGCAGACGAGTCCAGACGTGACTCTCTTTGCCATCTGGCAACAAAGTTGTTCTATCAGCACCCTGGAATGAAATCGGGGCTCGGGCTGAACTCTGCTTCTATTTGGATTGTGACACTGATGATGATGATGATGATGCATTAAATAGATCAGTGTTGTCTTACCTGACCCATTTGAAGAATCTGAGGTCTCAGCTTGCAGGAAAACATCAGATGCTGTGGAGCAGCTCTGGAAAAGCACACAGTTTGCAGTTAATATCGTCACTTTGCTTTATATTATATGATATGTTATTAATTAGCAGTGCACTGATTGATTTATTGATCCAGATTTCCCTAATTTTAAGAGATCAGCAATCCAGTGATATGTAAAACAAATCTTATTTGATTCCACAAAGGTCTAAAAATCAGCCTCGGTCCTGTCAGAGAAAAGTTTTAAAATGTGACAAAAGGCTAAAAAAAAAAACCAGACACTGGAAGTGTTTTGTCACCTTTTAATAGAGATGCGAGTCTTTCAGCGTCTAGTGATTCGATTCTGAAACAATTTTCGATTCAAAAACGATTTTTCTATTCAAACCATATAGAGATTATGTTTCAGTTATGTGAGTGACAAGAGGAAAAGACTGTTAAATAAAACATATATTTAAAATCAAATTTTATTTGGATAAAAACAAAGTTTGCGTGTAAAATTCTATAACTTAAAGCACCAGTACTGGGTTGGCTTGGCTGCCTGTTTTTTATTAAATGAAAATATTAAATAATGAGTGTTTAATATTTAAAATATTAACTAATAAAAAAGTAAAGAATTATTCAAAATGTAATTTTGAAAAAAAAAAAAAAAAAGCAGACAAATGTTTTTTGAGCATTTTAAACTGACTCTGAATTCCTGAGAGAAGAAATTGCGATTCTTTAAATTTTATGTCTTCACCTCTACCTTATAACACTAAGCGGTGTCAGTTGTAAACAAACAAACAATCATCTTCCAGTCTTTTTAAAGATCTGCGATCGTCCAGAAAACTGCAATCAGTTCACCTCTTTTATTTAAGCTTCTTAAATTTGACTCAGTTTCTCCCTTTGGACAGTGATGGGCTGAAATCCGCCTGCATTCAAGATGACGAGACACAGACAGTGCATCCTGTGTGAAACCGTCTGCGCTTCCAAGCAGGTAATTAACCCCGACGTGTGACTTACTCCATGACCGTGTTGGTGCTATGACCCTCACATGACCTTTTATTTATGAGTGTCTCCTTGTGTACAGATTACGGAAAGCCTATCTTCTGTAAAAAAAAAAAAAGAGAGACATTTATATACACATCTGGGCTCTTTTTTTTTGTATTTACTCAATACATTCATATAAAAGTCAAGTTAATGCCTTCACTTAAAAAAAATGTAAATCATTTAAAAACAACTTGAGATTTCTAAGTGAACGGCGTTTCATTGCTTCATGTGCAGGAGATGGATGAACACATGAGGAGCATGCTGCACCACCGGGAGCTGGAGAAGCTTAAAGGCCGGTGAGCTCACTTCCTGTCGAAACTGTGATAAAGTTTCAGGTTTAAGTTCAACCTTAAGGAGTTTTGTTGAAATCTGTTTGCACGTGTGCTGATGAGCACATGTCGGTAGCCGCTGGCAGCTGTTTGAGCCACGGCTCGTATATTTAGACACAATCTGTCCGGAACAACAGGCGTGAAGGCCAGAAGTCAAGGGCCATCTCGTGACTCCCGCTTAGATGACCGAAAGAATGTGGCCTGGTGGTGAGGCTTAGTGTTGATACTGAGCATTCAAAGGGTGTTCAGGTGGAGCCTTTAGGCTGCCGAGGGCCCCGTCCCCAAAACTCACACTTCCACGCTTGTGGTCCTTCACATGCGAGTTCCCGCTGCAGGTTTTCGAGTGTGTGCACAAATTCATGGCTGAATGTGACATTTTGAATTAAAAGGCAGAAATATGGCACCGAGCAAGTTGTGTGCGTTACGGGAGAATCAGTTTTCAAACATAAAGTACTAAAGTAATCCTTGTTTCTGCTGTACGTGTGTGGATATGACTGAACTTGCTCTGTATTCAACAAGTCATAACACAGCAGCCAAATATCTCCTACAATGACTTTGGAAAGCAGACACACCTGCTTTGTACATTTAAAATCCATTGCTTCTTGTTGTTCTTTCGTTTGCAGTACAAATCCCAAAAGAGCGACCAAGTGCCGCCATTTTGGATGTCGCAGTTACATCCATGACGTAACCCGTACTGTACCAAATCTCCAATTTTGCATTTGCAACTTGCATACTTGAACCCCGATGTGTACTTCGACTGAGTACACACTTCTTAGAGGGGCGTATGGAGTAGTGTGAGTATTGGGGCAGGGCCGTTGTCACGCTTTAGACAGTTCGCTTTGTGAGCTGAACAAGTGGTGAGGCGTTTATGCTTTATGTGTTCGTCGGTGTCCTATTCTCTGGAAACGTTTCCTTAAAGTGGGCCCATATAAATGCCACCTTGCGAATCGTACAGTTTGAGTGAAAGGAGACGTGCGTGATCAGCGCCGAGTTAAGCCAGGTTTATAGATACAGAGCCCAAAACAGGCCATGGGGAAAAATGTTTCTTTTGCGTTCCCTCGCTTACTGCAATATTTGCTGGTCTACATTACATACAGTCTCAAATGTCAACTTAAATTTCAAATATATACACATGTAAAGAGCCTCAGTGTTTATTATTAACTCTTTGGTGCAAAAAACTGATTGAAAATTGATTTATTAATTCATGCTTATGTCTGTTTGTGTAAGGTTGAGATGGAAATGGCCCTTTAAACCATTCAGACCAGCAACAGAAAAGAGACACAATCAAAACTGTCAGATGATTTATTACCCCATAGCTTACAGTATGCAGTTATGGCACATGAACTGATAAGTACATTATTGCCCCTGTTGGGGCTCCGTATGTTAGGGCCATTGCAGATGGAGACAAAAATTTACCATTTCTGAGTTTTTTCTTGCAAATATCAACTTTCCAAAGTCAGAAGTATCCAAGTTTTTTTTTTAAAGAAAATTTCCAAAATGAATCTCAAAATCAAAATTTGTTTTTGTGAAAATGTACTCTTTTTTTTTTTTCCCCATCTACATTGACATTAATATGCCGTCACAGAATAAAGATATACATTAATAGTTACTGTTAAAATGTGTCGGTGTGTTTTGATGACCTGACACACTTACAGTCAAGTGGCTGAAATGGAGCAGTCGTGAGCCGAAGCAGAAATACTGTGTCAGAAACGCGTAACTCGATCTCAGTGCTGCACGCCAGCTGCACGAGACGCCTCAAAGTGTTACCACCCCATGACACAGATTTGCAGGAGAAATTGAGAACGAGCCAGGAAAGCAACTGGCCCCTCAGCATTACAGGATGGCATCCCTGGGAGAGGTTTAAAACGGAGGCTGTGAGCAGCTGCACTGGGCTTCGGTTTCACAGGCTCCGCATGGCGATTGGTGGTCGGGATCTCCAGACCTAACACATGCCGTCATCCGGGAGGGGCTCTGGGCTGTGGCATTCGGAGCGAGGAGAGAGGTCAAATAGAGACGGTGCCTGCCTTGAAGCACCAGAGCGCAGCGGACACCATCATGAAGGCGCACTGAGCTGAGGGCGCCGGCCTCTCTTCCCCCCACGCGTCCCAGCGCTGTGCCGCGCGGCCGGACCCGAACATCTTAGACTAGCGTGCTGCCGCGGTCCGGCCCGGCTGCTCTGCCACCTACGGCCTGCTGAGAACAGGGGAAACGCTAAGATCAGGATGATTAAGACTCTACCTATAGAAAATTCTAAGTTAGCTACCTCCTGATCTGCGAGAGACGAATCGGATAATTTATACCAAGGATTGTCGAGTAATCTCCTTTCCTGAGTTTTTTAAGACTTCAAAGTTGGAGAAAGTAGAGCCAGGGTGTGCAGCTGCCTGCTCTTCAGGTGGAAAAAGCAATCTGTAACCAGACCGGATCAGAGCCATGCCCGCGGGAACTATTGAAGCCCCCCTGTCACCTTCCCTCCCCAGGGACTGCGGACACGAGTGCAGAGTGTGTAAGGTGAAGATGGTGAGCCTGACCGATTACGCCGGCCACATCTCCAGCGCCACGCACAAACAAAACGTGGAGGCGGCGGACAAACAGCGGGCCGGAAACGACCAAGACGAGGAATACTTCGACCAGACTCTGGTGGACCTGATTGAAAAGAGAAAAGAGCAGATCAGGTGAGCCGACTGTCCGACCTACTGTAAAATGAGATTCACTGCTTAAAATAAATGTTAGCTAATATGGTATACATGTGTTAGCAAAACAGCATCATTTAAGGTAAAAACCACTTTAGACTGATTAGTTTTGGTGAAAACACCCCAGACGCAGTGACTTATAAACACAAACTTTGTTTTTCAAAGTTTGCAAGATGTAACTAAGATGTGAACAGACGTGAGTCAACAAGCTGTAGTTTGTCAGCATATGCCATGTATAGTCATATTCTGCTGTGCGGCGCCTCCAGGCCTGTTTTAGCCACAGCTTCACACTGAGCCGTGGCCGGAGTCAGATGTCAGGCCTGCAGGCTAAAAAAGAAAAGGCACGACCGCAAATACAGAGTTCAAACAGATCCGGGCTCCAACCTAATGCCTTCTGGACATATTAATACACACCACATTTTCAGTCTTTTGATGGTGTGGAATATAAAAAAAAAATTTGATGGTAAAAAGCTTCTCCAACCTAAAGTTTAAATAAAAGTCGCTCTGCTCCAGTGCTATTTTTACACATGTTGTCTTGATCTCTGTCTTGCTTGAAGAATTTGAGAAATGTCCAACTGGAGCTATTAGGATAATGTAAAAATGTAGCTGATATGACCAATAATAATTAGAATAAAAATAATAAATTCAACAGCTTTGTGCCTTGGAAAAGTATTGATATCATTGAACTGCTTGTGTAGCGAATTTACTGAGCAAAAAAAAAAAAAAAAAAAAAAAAAGATTTTTTTGTGTTTCCAATGGTCACCATTCACAGTTCAAACCAAGCTGAAGATTTGTCCGTTTCTTTGTTGTATTTTTTTTTTTTTTTTAGAAAAGAGAAGGAGGCTACAGCTGCTAGGCTGGCGAAAGAAGAAGAAGAACGGAAGAGAAAGGAAGAGTTTCAGCAGAGGCTAAACCAACTTAAGGAACGTTACCGCCTGGAGCGCATGTGGCAGGCTCCTCCGCAGGGCTTCGGTGGACCCGGTCAACACAGGTCTTGGCACAGGAGCAGCTATTACGACGGCAGCAGAGAGGATGAGGGATACTGGCATCAAAACCAGCAGGGCAGGAGCGCCACGTGGCACGCTCAGGAACCCCCCCGTTTACAGAAATGGGCAACTGTAGAGTTTTCCAACAACAGGGTGGATGGCAACAGGATGTGGGGCAACGGCGGTCAGCAAAGTCGACTGCCTTGGCTCAGCAATGGAGGCAGCAGCAATGGGCTCTATGGTCACAACAACATCGCCAGGTACGCCCCAAAGGCTAGGCCTCACAGTTTCATGGGGTGTAATCCTGTATGTACCAACGCAACAAATCTTTTAGGCCAGAGTTTTACACGCTTTGAAGGCAAAGGAAACTTCAGAAATGCTCAGCAGCATGCCAGGCTCCAAAATGGAGAGGCATCACTGGCCGACTCAGACTACCACGGTAAAAACTCTAAAACACTCGGCAGCAATCCAAAGCTGGACAAAAGCTGTCGCTGGTCACCGTACCCCATTGCGTCCGGATCGCACGTAGAGCCCCACCAAAGCACGTCAGAGAACCACCAAGAGGCTTTGAAGCCTCAGAAACACCCCCAATGTGAGCGTGCACCTGTGGACTCAAGTCTGCAAAACGTGGAAGAGGACAGGAGGCAGCCGATAAAACCCAAAACTCAAACCCACCATGTCGGTGACGGAAGCTGTGGTGGCTCTAAAGGTTCTCAGAGAGATGGCAACCAAAACGGTGCGTCTGGTTTTTGTAGCGAGAAGGCAAATAAACCATCACTGCAAGTGGATCAGAAGAGTTCCTCAGTTTCTGGGGCTAAAGGTGACGCTCAGCACAGCAAGTCCTCCAGTCAGTCAAAACCAGGCGGGAAGCAAAGTGGGACCAAGGTGCCTGTTGGGTACCTCACATCGAGGCAGGAGCAGTGCCTTCCGGAGTCGTTTCGCGCAGTCAGGCAGATTGGTTTTGAAAGAAAAGGCTCTTTGGAGAGGTCACACCACCTTGGGGAGCAACAGAATCAGGGGGAACCTTTTAAAGAGAGAAGTGCGAGTGAAAGTTCTGGAAAAGCGACATCGGCTGTTGCGTTCAGGCAAGAAAAAGCTCCGTCGGCTTCTGCAGAAGACGGCACTTTTGTCCAGTCCCTTCACGTGAGCACCTCCACCGCAGAGGGAGCAGAGGCTGCGTCCACAGCCAAAAGGGACGAGGAGAACAGGAACGGAGCGGAGACGCAAAGCCCCACGGCGGTCCAGGCCGAGGCCATGCAGGTTTCCGAGGCCGGGCCGAGCTCGGAGAGCGACGCCGGCAGAACCAGCGAGGCGCACGCCGCCTCGGGGTCGGACGGAACCACTTTGTCCAAACTGGACCTCCCCCCCGTCCTGAAGCGGGACCTCACCAAGCACATGAGCTCCAAGAGCAAAGCAGCCGGTCACGAGCCAAACCTGAACATCGCCAGGCGCGTGCGAAACCTCAGCGAGTCGAAGCGAAGCGACATGGAAAAGGATTCTGGCCTCAAGCCGACTGTGAGGCAGCTCATCAACTCGGCGAGCGCGCGCCGCTCCGTGAACTGGGACCAGGTCTATCAGGAGGTCCGAAAGATGCAGGACAAGGGGAAAGGCATGCCAAGGTGAATGTCGCTTCTCAGAATTTAAGTTTTCGGTTATTTTTTTTAAAATTTAAATTAACATGTTTAGTTTGTGCTTCGATAGGTTTGGGATTGAGATGGTGCCATATGAGCAGGAGTCCCAAAGCCAGGAGGAGGACGGTCTGCCACTCATTGAGGGCTTCCAGTGGGAGTCGTTGATGGAAATCACCTCCGAGAGCAAATCTCGCAAACGCTCCTTGTCAGAAAGCAGCCTCGCACCTGCGGCGCCTCATTCGTCAGTGTTCGGACCCTTGAAGTCAGAGGAGGCGGTGAAGAAGGAGGAGTCGAGCTCCACACTTCCTTCCGCTTCAGAAAAGCAGAAGCTTCAGCCGGAAGAGGAAGCGAAGAACCAGAAAGGCATTCTACACTGCGCAACGGCGAAGGTTCTCCAGCGATTTGATTTGACGCTGGGGGACAGCAGCTCTGGGGCGGAGCAGTGCGACGGGACAGGGAAGCGGCGGCGTGCGGCCGGGGTGGGTTTGTGAAGCAGCCTCTCTCATCCTTACTGTTGCATTTTCCCACCTCCAGACACAACACGTCTCACCTTTTGTTTTCCCCCCGTCTCGTTCAGGACTCCACCGGCACAGGGTTGTCTTGTTTGGAGCACGACAGTAAGAGAAGAAAAGTCAAATCAAAAAGAGGTTTGTCTCCATCTTCGATCATCAAACTCTTCCACACACACCGCAGTGTGACCGACACCGAGGTGCTGTCTGTGTTTGGTGCAGAGCGCCTGCAGATCGACCAGCTGCTTGCAGTGTCTCTGCGGGAGGAGGAGCTGAGTCAGTCCTTGCAGAATGTGGACACCAACCTGATCCAGGCCCGCGCGGCGCTGGAGGCGGCCTTCCTGGAGGTGCAGCGACTCATAGTGGTTAAACAGCAGGTAATGAAAGTAACATTCGGTTCTTCTGTTTGTATCATGGTAGATTTGTTATATTTGTCTCAACGTTTTGAGTTATTTAGTGTATTAGTTTGCTAGTTGTGAGTTTGTACATCCCTAACTTGGCTGTGTGTCGTCTTCCCCTTCAGATTACTGTGGAGATGAGCTCACTGAGAAACAAACGGATAGACTTGCTTAAAGGCATGCAAGGTAAAAAAAAATAAATATATACAATTAAAAATAACGTTATTATAATTACACCATTGAAAATTAGAATTATTTGTTTATAGTATTTTGAAAGTGACCTGAACAGGCGTCACAGCCTGTGGTGCCTTGCAAAAGTATTCATATCACTTTAACTTTTTTTCTGTGTTGCTGTTACATTGTTTATAAAGTCCAGTACAGAAGTGATTTAATTAGTAAATTAATAATAACTAAAAAAAAAAAGTATGTCTCTGTGTAAAGGAGGTTTAAGAGAACATCAGTGAACAAACAGAATTAATTAGTTTAACAAACACAGCAGACAGTTCACAGGTGAAGCTGTTTTAAAGCTTCAGTCTGTCATGAACAAGAAATGTATTTTTTTACATATTTGTTAAAACTGTCACATTATCCTGACAGTGTAATATAAGCTGTAGCCAGCAACTCAGACATCTTCACTGCATGTGACTCCAGATGGTAACCCACTGCTAACATGTTCTTGCTAACTAGCTTTTTTGCATCTGTCATGAGTGAGTGCAAATTTATCGCCAGTGGGCTGGACGACGTTTGAACATTTCTGTGGAGATATAGGCCTTAAATTTGTGTCTTAATAATCTTAAAAAGCCTTAAATTTGAGTTGGTGAAACCTGGGATGCTTCCTCAAGGCGCAGCATGTGTGGGAAACGATGGATTGACTTTCTGTTGTGTCTTTTTAGGTACTATTGAGGAGACGCCTGAGGCCAACCCAAAAAAAACCCACTTGGTTTCTTTTGGAGCGGAGCCGCTTGAGTCATCCTCCTGTGCCAAATGTCCCCCGGTTCCGGCCACGGCCGTTTCCAGTCCGCATCGGGCCGCAGAGTGCACCTCCCCTCCTTCGTCCAGCCTTCCTTTGTCCGTCGTCATCAAGGAGGAGCCCCAGTCTCCGGTCTGCGTCAGTTCCGAACTGGACCCTGATCACAGCGCAGTCACCAACTGCGCTCACAGCACCACCCTGGACAACACAAACCCGTTGGGTAAGACCGGTTAGCGATCAGAGGCTAGAGGATTATTTTAATGAAATCTAATCAGTTTACATGCGGATCTCTGCAGGTGCTGCCTGCAGCTCGCGGTTCTCTCCTGACAGAAACCTTGAACCTCCAGACGGCAAAGGGAAGTTAACAGCACAGATTGAAAAGTCCGAAAGGCCTTCAGAGGCTCCGTGGAAAACCTCGGCGAAGCTCCCCGATGGCACCGACGTCCAGTCAGCGCAGCCTGCGGCGGCGTTTAACCTGCCGGCCTCTCCGTCTGAGCTGAGGAACGGAAAGCGCGTGAGGAAGCTGAAGAAGAGGAAGGTGCTGAATAAGGCCCAGGGAGCGGAGCAGCTCCAGAGCAGCGACACGGAGATGGACGAAGAGGCGTCCCGGCCACGGTGGCTGCGGCAGCGCAGGAGGCCGAGCGGCGGCTCCCAGGTCAGCACCTCCAGCCTGCCGACGGACGAGGGGAGCAGGAAAACGCTCGACGCGCCATGTTTGGCCGTGAAAACCGAAAAGGCGGAGTGGAATTCTCCCGCAGAGAACCTTGATGCCGCCGCAGCGGATCAGCAGCCTCAGAAGGAGGCGTTCGTCCAAGCTCCGCCCCCTCCACCTCTGCTCCCAGACCAATGTCAATCTGAGCCACACAGCCTGGCGTGCAACGAGGTTTCCTCCACCAGTGACATGGACCTGTGCAAATCCTCTGAGAGGTGGGTCATTCTGGAAAATATCCATGTGTTTACATTTTTCCAGAGTTTTATCTGAAAGGCTGAACATCTACGACTCACAAAGCAGCAGAAGAGTAAGAACAGTTCGCTGAGTCAGATTTTGTCATGTTGGTAATCAATCAATCAATCAATCAATCAATCAATCAATCAATCAATCAATCAGCTTTATTCATGCCATTAGGTAGATCTGGCTACACTGAAGTGAGTCAGCTTTCTTGCCAAGCAAAAAACACACAAATATAACATTTTGATTAAAAATGGACCAGTGCTCAATACTTGAAAATATTAAAAAACATAAAAACAATAAAATAAAAAACCCCACAATAGTAAATTTTGTGTTGTAATCAGGTCAAGATTAAGATTAAAAAACAATATTAAAGCCAATGCTATATCGAATTTTGGAAATTTATGTCAACAGGAACAAAGCTGATTTTATTCCGCTCAGTTTCACATTTGAATTTGAGCTGTAAAGATGTAATGTAAATAAAAATATGAAATGTTTGGAAGCAGACAGCAAGCATCCTTGCTCTTAATAGTTTTTCATAGAGATGAATTTCCCATCATCACCAAACTATGATCAGCTCAGAATCATTGTTGCTCATCTCAAGAAAACCACAGAAATATTTATTGTAGGAACGAACGGTCGTTCTCATATGTATGCAAGTTATACTTTCTTCTTTTGTACAAATATTAACCTTAGTTTTTTTATTTGATTAGAAAAGAAAAGAAGTCTAGTAAAATAAATACTTGTAGAAATGACAAGAAATGCTTGAAATTTTTAAAATGACGTTTTAAAAAGTGTAAGGAATCATAAGTTGCAGACCAGGTGATTGTTTCCTCTCAGCAGTGAGTCTGATGTCAGAAGCTTTTGTCTCCACAGTGATCTGCCTTTTCCCATCACGTTGCCCAGGACCTCATCAGGTACGTTATCATACATTTTCAGCATTTTGAGACGTTTATTTATCNAAGAATTTGAGAAATGTCCAACTGGAGCTATTAGGATAATGTAAAAATGTAGCTGATATGACCAATAATAATTAGAATAAAAATAATAAATTCAACAGCTTTGTGCCTTGGAAAAGTATTGATATCATTGAACTGCTTGTGTAGCGAATTTACTGAGCAAAAAAAAAAAAAAAAAAAAAAAAAAGTATTTTTGTGTTTCCAATGGTCACCATTCACAGTTCAAACCAAGCTGAAGATTTGTCCGTTTCTTTGTTGTATTTTTTTTTTTTTTTTTTTTTTTTTTTTTTTTTTAGAAAAGAGAAGGAGGCTACAGCTGCTAGGCTGGCGAAAGAAGAAGAAGAACGGAAGAGAAAGGAAGAGTTTCAGCAGAGGCTAAACCAACTTAAGGAACGTTACCGCCTGGAGCGCATGTGGCAGGCTCCTCCGCAGGGCTTCGGTGGACCCGGTCAACACAGGTCTTGGCACAGGAGCAGCTATTACGACGGCAGCAGAGAGGATGAGGGATACTGGCATCAAAACCAGCAGGGCAGGAGCGCCACGTGGCACGCTCAGGAACCCCCCCGTTTACAGAAATGGGCAACTGTAGAGTTTTCCAACAACAGGGTGGATGGCAACAGGATGTGGGGCAACGGCGGTCAGCAAAGTCGACTGCCTTGGCTCAGCAATGGAGGCAGCAGCAATGGGCTCTATGGTCACAACAACATCGCCAGGTACGCCCCAAAGGCTAGGCCTCACAGTTTCATGGGGTGTAATCCTGTATGTACCAACGCAACAAATCTTTTAGGCCAGAGTTTTACACGCTTTGAAGGCAAAGGAAACTTCAGAAATGCTCAGCAGCATGCCAGGCTCCAAAATGGAGAGGCATCACTGGCCGACTCAGACTACCACGGTAAAAACTCTAAAACACTCGGCAGCAATCCAAAGCTGGACAAAAGCTGTCGCTGGTCACCGTACCCCATTGCGTCCGGATCGCACGTAGAGCCCCACCAAAGCACGTCAGAGAACCACCAAGAGGCTTTGAAGCCTCAGAAACACCCCCAATGTGAGCGTGCACCTGTGGACTCAAGTCTGCAAAACGTGGAAGAGGACAGGAGGCAGCCGATAAAACCCAAAACTCAAACCCACCATGTCGGTGACGGAAGCTGTGGTGGCTCTAAAGGTTCTCAGAGAGATGGCAACCAAAACGGTGCGTCTGGTTTTTGTAGCGAGAAGGCAAATAAACCATCACTGCAAGTGGATCAGAAGAGTTCCTCAGTTTCTGGGGCTAAAGGTGACGCTCAGCACAGCAAGTCCTCCAGTCAGTCAAAACCAGGCGGGAAGCAAAGTGGGACCAAGGTGCCTGTTGGGTACCTCACATCGAGGCAGGAGCAGTGCCTTCCGGAGTCGTTTCGCGCAGTCAGGCAGATTGGTTTTGAAAGAAAAGGCTCTTTGGAGAGGTCACACCACCTTGGGGAGCAACAGAATCAGGGGGAACCTTTTAAAGAGAGAAGTGCGAGTGAAAGTTCTGGAAAAGCGACATCGGCTGTTGCGTTCAGGCAAGAAAAAGCTCCGTCGGCTTCTGCAGAAGACGGCACTTTTGTCCAGTCCCTTCACGTGAGCACCTCCACCGCAGAGGGAGCAGAGGCTGCGTCCACAGCCAAAAGGGACGAGGAGAACAGGAACGGAGCGGAGACGCAAAGCCCCACGGCGGTCCAGGCCGAGGCCATGCAGGTTTCCGAGGCCGGGCCGAGCTCGGAGAGCGACGCCGGCAGAACCAGCGAGGCGCACGCCGCCTCGGGGTCGGACGGAACCACTTTGTCCAAACTGGACCTCCCCCCCGTCCTGAAGCGGGACCTCACCAAGCACATGAGCTCCAAGAGCAAAGCAGCCGGTCACGAGCCAAACCTGAACATCGCCAGGCGCGTGCGAAACCTCAGCGAGTCGAAGCGAAGCGACATGGAAAAGGATTCTGGCCTCAAGCCGACTGTGAGGCAGCTCATCAACTCGGCGAGCGCGCGCCGCTCCGTGAACTGGGACCAGGTCTATCAGGAGGTCCGAAAGATGCAGGACAAGGGGAAAGGCATGCCAAGGTGAATGTCGCTTCTCAGAATTTAAGTTTTCGGTTATTTTTTTTAAAATTTAAATTAACATGTTTAGTTTGTGCTTCGATAGGTTTGGGATTGAGATGGTGCCATATGAGCAGGAGTCCCAAAGCCAGGAGGAGGACGGTCTGCCACTCATTGAGGGCTTCCAGTGGGAGTCGTTGATGGAAATCACCTCCGAGAGCAAATCTCGCAAACGCTCCTTGTCAGAAAGCAGCCTCGCACCTGCGGCGCCTCATTCGTCAGTGTTCGGACCCTTGAAGTCAGAGGAGGCGGTGAAGAAGGAGGAGTCGAGCTCCACACTTCCTTCCGCTTCAGAAAAGCAGAAGCTTCAGCCGGAAGAGGAAGCGAAGAACCAGAAAGGCATTCTACACTGCGCAACGGCGAAGGTTCTCCAGCGATTTGATTTGACGCTGGGGGACAGCAGCTCTGGGGCGGAGCAGTGCGACGGGACAGGGAAGCGGCGGCGTGCGGCCGGGGTGGGTTTGTGAAGCAGCCTCTCTCATCCTTACTGTTGCATTTTCCCACACGTCTCACCTTTTGTTCTCCCCCCATCTCGTTCAGGACTCCACCGGCACAGGGTTGTCTTGTTTGGAGCACGACAGTAAGAGAAGAAAAGTCAAATCAAAAAGAGGTTTGTCTCCATCTTCGATCATCAAACTCTTCCACACACACCGCAGTGTGACCGACACCGAGGTGCTGTCTGTGTTTGGTGCAGAGCGCCTGCAGATCGACCAGCTGCTTGCAGTGTCTCTGCGGGAGGAGGAGCTGAGTCAGTCCTTGCAGAATGTGGACACCAACCTGATCCAGGCCCGCGCGGCGCTGGAGGCGGCCTTCCTGGAGGTGCAGCGACTCATAGTGGTTAAACAGCAGGTAATGAAAGTAACATTCGGTTCTTCTGTTTGTATCATGGTAGATTTGTTATATTTGTCTCAACGTTTTGAGTTATTTAGTGTATTAGTTTGCTAGTTGTGAGTTTGTACATCCCTAACTTGGCTGTGTGTCGTCTTCCCCTTCAGATTACTGTGGAGATGAGCTCACTGAGAAACAAACGGATAGACTTGCTTAAAGGCATGCAAGGTAAAAAAAAATAAATATATACAATTAAAAATAACGTTATTATAATTACACCATTGAAAATTAGAATTATTTGTTTATAGTATTTTGAAAGTGACCTGAACAGGCGTCACAGCCTGTGGTGCCTTGCAAAAGTATTCATATCACTTTAACTTTTTTTCTGTGTTGCTGTTACATTGTTTATAAAGTCCAGTACAGAAGTGATTTAATTAGTAAATTAATAATAACTAAAAAAAAAAAGTATGTCTCTGTGTAAAGGAGGTTTAAGAGAACATCAGTGAACAAACAGAATTAATTAGTTTAACAAACACAGCAGACAGTTCACAGGTGAAGCTGTTTTAAAGCTTCAGTCTGTCATGAACAAGAAATGTATTTTTTTACATATTTGTTAAAACTGTCACATTATCCTGACAGTGTAATATAAGCTGTAGCCAGCAACTCAGACATCTTCACTGCATGTGACTCCAGATGGTAACCCACTGCTAACATGTTCTTGCTAACTAGCTTTTTTGCATCTGTCATGAGTGAGTGCAAATTTATCGCCAGTGGGCTGGACGACGTTTGAACATTTCTGTGGAGATATAGGCCTTAAATTTGTGTCTTAATAATCTTAAAAAGCCTTAAATTTGAGTTGGTGAAACCTGGGATGCTTCCTCAAGGCGCAGCATGTGTGGGAAACGATGGATTGACTTTCTGTTGTGTCTTTTTAGGTACTATTGAGGAGACGCCTGAGGCCAACCCAAAAAAAACCCACTTGGTTTCTTTTGGAGCGGAGCCGCTTGAGTCATCCTCCTGTGCCAAATGTCCCCCGGTTCCGGCCACGGCCGTTTCCAGTCCGCATCGGGCCGCAGAGTGCACCTCCCCTCCTTCGTCCAGCCTTCCTTTGTCCGTCGTCATCAAGGAGGAGCCCCAGTCTCCGGTCTGCGTCAGTTCCGAACTGGACCCTGATCACAGCGCAGTCACCAACTGCGCTCACAGCACCACCCTGGACAACACAAACCCGTTGGGTAAGACCGGTTAGCGATCAGAGGCTAGAGGATTATTTTAATGAAATCTAATCAGTTTACATGCGGATCTCTGCAGGTGCTGCCTGCAGCTCGCGGTTCTCTCCTGACAGAAACCTTGAACCTCCAGACGGCAAAGGGAAGTTAACAGCACAGATTGAAAAGTCCGAAAGGCCTTCAGAGGCTCCGTGGAAAACCTCGGCGAAGCTCCCCGATGGCACCGACGTCCAGTCAGCGCAGCCTGCGGCGGCGTTTAACCTGCCGGCCTCTCCGTCTGAGCTGAGGAACGGAAAGCGCGTGAGGAAGCTGAAGAAGAGGAAGGTGCTGAATAAGGCCCAGGGAGCGGAGCAGCTCCAGAGCAGCGACACGGAGATGGACGAAGAGGCGTCCCGGCCACGGTGGCTGCGGCAGCGCAGGAGGCCGAGCGGCGGCTCCCAGGTCAGCACCTCCAGCCTGCCGACGGACGAGGGGAGCAGGAAAACGCTCGACGCGCCATGTTTGGCCGTGAAAACCGAAAAGGCGGAGTGGAATTCTCCCGCAGAGAACCTTGATGCCGCCGCAGCGGATCAGCAGCCTCAGAAGGAGGCGTTCGTCCAAGCTCCGCCCCCTCCACCTCTGCTCCCAGACCAATGTCAATCTGAGCCACACAGCCTGGCGTGCAACGAGGTTTCCTCCACCAGTGACATGGACCTGTGCAAATCCTCTGAGAGGTGGGTCATTCTGGAAAATATCCATGTGTTTACATTTTTCCAGAGTTTTATCTGAAAGGCTGAACATCTACGACTCACAAAGCAGCAGAAGAGTAAGAACAGTTCGCTGAGTCAGATTTTGTCATGTTGGTAATCAATCAATCAATCAATCAATCAATCAATCAATCAATCAATCAATCAGCTTTATTCATGCCATTAGGTAGATCTGGCTACACTGAAGTGAGTCAGCTTTCTTGCCAAGCAAAAAACACACAAATATAACATTTTGATTAAAAATGGACCAGTGCTCAATACTTGAAAATATTAAAAAACATAAAAACAATAAAATAAAAAACCCCACAATAGTAAATTTTGTGTTGTAATCAGGTCAAGATTAAGATTAAAAAACAATATTAAAGCCAATGCTATATCGAATTTTGGAAATTTATGTCAACAGGAACAAAGCTGATTTTATTCCGCTCAGTTTCACATTTGAATTTGAGCTGTAAAGATGTAATGTAAATAAAAATATGAAATGTTTGGAAGCAGACAGCAAGCATCCTTGCTCTTAATAGTTTTTCATAGAGATGAATTTCCCATCATCACCAAACTATGATCAGCTCAGAATCATTGTTGCTCATCTCAAGAAAACCACAGAAATATTTATTGTAGGAACGAACGGTCGTTCTCATATGTATGCAAGTTATACTTTCTTCTTTTGTACAAATATTAACCTTAGTTTTTTTATTTGATTAGAAAAGAAAAGAAGTCTAGTAAAATAAATACTTGTAGAAATGACAAGAAATGCTTGAAATTTTTAAAATGACGTTTTAAAAAGTGTAAGGAATCATAAGTTGCAGACCAGGTGATTGTTTCCTCTCAGCAGTGAGTCTGATGTCAGAAGCTTTTGTCTCCACAGTGATCTGCCTTTTCCCATCACGTTGCCCAGGACCTCATCAGGTACGTTATCATACATTTTCAGCATTTTGAGACGTTTATTTATCGGAAATAATTCAGCTAATGTAATTTTATCCGAGCTATGAAGTTATATGTTGCTTCATTTTCATCTACTGTTTGAGAAACCGAGTTAGGTTACAGCTTGTCCAGCTGTTTACTCCTGGATTGTTTTGCTCAATCATCACCTTAAATAAGTCAAATTTTCTTTGCACTTTAGCGTTTGTATGATTTATGGTTAGTTATTCTATTAAATGCTCAAATCTCAACAATTATTTGATTTATTTGAACATAATTAAAAAAAAAACTTATTACACCCTGTTGACATTTCTTTTGTTCTCATGACGGGAAGTTGGTATCATGTAACCCCTTTTCTTCAGTCTATGAGCACGTCATAGTACAGAAGGCCTATCGATCCAAAATATTGACAATGCCAATATCGGATTCAATATCGGATCAGTACTAAAGTAGCAAGACATGCTGGTGCTGCATCGAATCGACGCCAGAACATGCAGTGTCTACAAACTTATAAACAACCATTAAAAAAGTCGAGTACTCAATTTTTTTAACATGAAAAGTTTGTCGTGAAGCAACCAAAACTGCAAAGGTTTGAAAAGGCAGAGAGGTGAAATAAGATCCTCCTCCTTCCTGTATCATGTATGTATTTCTGCATCATATCTGTATTTTTAGACGCGTTCTCTGACCGTGGGGAGGACGAGGTCCCGACTGAAGGAACGTTCTGCGGCCACAAGGAGGCGGTGAACGCCCTCCAGATCCACAACGGGCTGCTGTACACGTGCTCCGGAGACCGGACCGTCCAGGCCTTCGACCTGGTGGTGGGTGACCGCTCACCGATTCGCTTCCCATCATCTCTTTCTGGAGTTAAATGGAGTTCTGTTGTTGCAGAGCCATAAATGCGTCGGTGTGTTTGAGGGTCACAGCTCCAAAGTGACCTGCCTGATGGTGTCCGCGGCTCCATCCCTGCACCATCGCCTCTACTCCGGCTCCAGTGACCAGACCATCCGCTGCTACAGCCTCAAGGTTGGAATCTGTTCTCATCCGACTTTCTCGTTTGGAGCCGCGCTCAGAAGCTGATGTTTCCCTCATGTTCAATGTTTTCTACAGACGCGAGAATTTGAGCAACAGTTCGCTTTGTCCGACCGAGTCCTCTGCCTTCACAGCCGGTGGAAGACGTTATACGCCGGTCTGGCAAATGGTACCGTGGTGACCTTTAACCTTAAGGTGAGGAAGACAAAGTGTCACATGTATTTAACACCTTGAATCTCTTATTGGTTCTGATCTGCTTCCATCTAATGCCGATATTTTAGATTTTTTTTCTGGGGAAAAAAATAAGGAAAATTAAAGTCACAGTTATGTAAAGCTGCAACTAACAATTATTTTAGTAATCAATTAGTCTCAATTATTCTGATGATTAATTAAAAAATTGGTACATTCTTCAGAGTTTTCATGTAACCACATACACCATTTTTGTACAACACTAGAAGTACATAAAAAATGCAATTAAACAATTCAGTGCTATATTAAATAAGAAAATAAACATTGTAAGAATTTAATGGCAGTAAATCTGAACCGGGTGAAGCTAAAACTTTGCCATTGAGGAGTTTTGGCTA